CATCAAGATCTATAAGGCTCTCATCTTCACCATGATAAATCCATTCAGTGTATCCCTTTACAAATCCTTTACTACATAAATGGTCATACACTACATCTCTTACTTCCCAACTATCATTGCAACATATAGAACAAGGACACAAAATCTCTTCTTCTTCAACCATTCCTTTGGTGAATGCAATATCCAAAAAGTAATTTACACCGTCCTTATAACTTTGACTGTGTGGAGGTAACTCCACCCAATCCTTCTTTATCATGTTTGGTTTTCTAAAATGAAATAAATTATACGTTAATCTTTATCATATAAAGGATGGAAAAACACCATGGTTCATATATCAACGTAGCTTTTACAAATGCATAGTTATTATAAAAATTTCATTTATAATCTAAATATACACTAAGCATGCATTCCAATACCAAACATATAATAAATTGGTGAACTTTTAATCTAAACATGCATTACAAACATAAAATAAATGAGCTAAACTATTTTACATATGTTACTTCATGGAAGAGATAGTTTAAGGTTGTATTTGTCTATATCCATTGGATGATGTGTTTTACATATGTTTCTTTGGATTCATGTGTTTTGCCCTTACCAATAAGTCTAACTAGCTGTGACTTTGAATTAATAATATATACAAGTATTTGATCTTATCAAGTGAAATTAGAGATATTACTTGCTTTCAAACTACAACTTGATAAGGTATGATTCCATATGATAAAATGATGAGAAGTTTTAGCATAAACATGAGTAGGATAAGGTATGATTCCTTATGATAAAATGATGAGAAGTTTTAGCATAAACATGAGTAGGAAAACACAGGGCTATTGCATGAGGGGTGTGTGTTAAGATTTAAAAACATGAACAATTAATTTATATTCTAATTATGAACAAACATTTCATAGTCTAATATAATATGTATTTGTTGTTTCTTTTCAAACTAATCTAAAGTGCAGAAAGCATTGGAATGACTGGGTTCTGTTACCTGAATTCTTTCAACTTGATTCCAGCAGTAATAGAAACTAAAATCTTGTCCTTAGTTAAAAGCGACTTCGATTTCAACACAACTTCCTTCACTGCAACAACAACAACAAAGCTAGTAAATGAAACTGAGACGTTTCTTTCCCAAATAATGTTGAAACCAATGACATATCTATTGAGGTTTAACCGAAACAACGACGGTGAATGATCTAAAGACAAATAATTAGAAAATGAGAAAATTAAACACAAATTTAATAAATAGTAAAAGAGATGAAATGGAATACGTCACCTTTAGAAGAAAGGACGGTGATGTCGATGGATTCAAAAGTGGCATAACGAACTTGGTTAGACTGAGCAGATGCGAGTTACAATGCGGGAATGGGGAAAGACGCAGGAGAACCTGCACATCACACAACATTGATATAATCACATGGTTAGCATATGTATTAGTTTTAATAACTAACATAATAACATAGCAATCAAGTAAGCATATAGAATTACACAGAGACAATAATAATTAAGAAGCACTAACTTTCAAATGTTAGCTAAACACATATCTTATTGGAGAGATGTATCCAACACAATTTGTGTAGGCAAGTCTTAGGTATTGAGAAATCAAAAATAGAGATAAAATTATGACATTTCTTAAAACAATGAAAGCTAGGTCTATTCCTAAAAACAAAAATAAAAAACATCTCCATGCAACCAGCTCTCACAAACATTGCTATTAAGACTTAAATTTTTTAAGGCCAATATTAACTTTATGGTATCATAGTTCAGTAATATCATGCTGCAAGAGGAAATGCAGTAAGAGATAAGTGGTTCATACTTCTTGGGAGATCACTATTAATGTTGTCGCTTAAAGTATTTTGCAATTTTATTCAGTACGTGTGTTGCGACACCGTTGTCGTGGTGTAAATTAGTAACATTATTGTATGACCATTTACGCAGTAGCAGGCACCTTTTTTAAAAACTTAGAAAAATGCAATCCATTTTAACCATCTATAGTTTTATATGACATCTAAATATCAAATGAAAAACTAACAGTAATAACTAATAATTACAAAATTATATAATGTTTAAAACTTAGAAAAGAGGGGAATTAAGTGAACAAAAAAATCGATTATGTGGACTATACAAAGTAATAAATATTTAAGCAAATAGGCTAACAAAACAGAATCGAACACACAACTTTCAACGAAACAAATATAGAGCAACAATGATCTTATAATTCTTATTTTAACGAACCCAACAGACTACACAATTCAACAATTTTCACTTATTTTTAACAGAAAAAACAAAAAACAAACAAAAACTTAGTTAACAAAATAGAACCAAACGCTATAGTGTACGCATATAACTTTAAATGCAACAAATGCAGAGCAACAATACAAACTACACGATTCAACATTTTGCACTCATTTTTAACATAAAAAGAGAAAAACAAATAACAATAAATTGGAAAACAAAATGAAACCAAACGCTATAGTGTATGCAAATAACTTTCAATGGAACAAATGCAGCATAACAATACTAACTACACGATTAACCATTTTGTACTTATTTTTAACATAAAAAACTAAAATAAACAAAAACAAATTGGTTAACAAAACAAAACATAATGCTATAGTTTGCGAACACAACTTTCAGTGGAACAAATGTAGACAAACAATACAAACTACAAGATTCAACAATTTTCACTTATCTTTAACAGAAAAAACAAAAACAAATAAAATATATTAGTTAAAACCACATATACAAACGCTATAGTGTACACACATAACTTTCAACGAAACAAATGCAGAGCAACAATACAAACTATATGATTCAACATTTTGCACTTCTTTTTAACATAAATTACCAAAACAAATAAAAGTAAATTGGTTATCAAAACAAAACCAAACACTATATTATGTGCATAATACTTTCATTTGAACAAATGAAGAGATACAATACAAACTACACGACTCATCATTTTGCACTTATTTTTAACATAAAAACAAAAAACAAAATAAAAAAAATAGATAAGAAAACAGAACCAAACACTATAATGATTGCACAAAACATTCAATGGAACAACTGCAGAGCAACAATAAATACTACATGATTCAACATTTTGCACTTATTTTTAACAGAAAAAACAAATAAAAATAAATTGGTTAACAAAACAAAACCAAAAGCTATAGTGTACGCACACAAATTTTAACGGAACAAATGCAGAGCAACAATACAAACTACAAGTTTCAACATTTTGCACTAACTTTTGACAGAGAAAACAAAAAACTAATAAAAATATATTGATTAACCACTCAGAACCAAATGTGACAGTGTACAAACTCAACTTTCAATGGAAAAAATGTGTAGCAATAATAAAAACTACACGATTCATCATTTTGATCTTATTTTTAAACAAAAAAAACAGAAAAACAAATAAAAATTAATTGGTTAAGAAAACTTAACCGAATTCTATAGTGCATGCATACAACTTTTAACTGAACAAACATAGAGCAACAATACAAACTACAAGATTGAACATTTTGCACTTACTTTTAACAGAAAATACAAAAAACAAATAAAAATATATTTGTTAACCACTCAGAACCAAACGCTAGAATATGAAATTACAATGGCCTATATTAAATTATTATTGATAATCACTATGTAATTAATTCTTTACTACTAGAAAAAAATAGTTAGCACTCTCTATCAGCATTTGTTTGATTTAAAGTAGTTAGAACCACACTCTGTTGTCAACTTCTTATATCAACAACAAATATGAAAATGCCCACACAAACTCAAACAACCATCAAAACACTCAGATTCAACTCAAACACAACGATACGAAATGGCGATCGAATTATAAATGCAGAAATACATACAAACACACCAACATACACCCACGTCAGAAAAACATAATCAATAGCAAATTAACATCCATTCATTGAACCTTCTCACCAACATAAACCAACAACTATAAACTGTATTGAAATAAAATGAAGAGAAGTTACCAATAATGCAATTTTGAGCATGTCGTGTTGTTATGTTGCTGCTGAAGGTGTTGAGCGTTGTTGCGGATCAGAAATGGTGATGTATATAAGTTTACGGCGGTGGGATGTGGTACGGTACATCTAAGGTGGGGTTTTTGGAATAGAGCGGACGTCCACTACAACATTTGTTGTCTCTGGCAACACTTTTTTAGGTAACATGTAGAAATTGTTGCCTTAAATTCATGTAGGCAACGATTTACGATTGTTGTCAAAAATATGTTTGCAACCCTTGATAATCGTTGCCTAAAATACTTTTGGGGACGTTTATGGAGCGATACTCTTTTATTTTTTTGCCAACGATTGTTAATTGTGCCCTTAACTGCTTTTGGGGACGATTTTAGAGCGTTAAAATATTATTTCTTTAGCAATGTTTGACAATTGTCCCCTAAAATATTTTTGAGGACATTTTTAGATTGTTACATTAGTTCTAATAAAAGGCTACATTTATGAAATGTTGTATAAATTTTTTTAGCATTATCAAATTTTTGGTGGCAATCTTCCCTCCAAAACTTATACACTAAAAAACAAATATTTTTCTCTAAACATTATTAATATATATATATATATATATATATATATATATATATATATATATATATATATATATATATATATATATATATATATATATATATATATATATATATATATATATATATATATATATATATATATATATATATATATTAAAAAAAATTTAACACATAATTATAAAATAATATTTAATTATAAGCATGTATTTATCCACATGGACTTAATAAAAAACACAAAATTATAAAATCTTATTACATGTTGTATCCACACTTAACAAATAAAATTAATTTAAATAAGCATACTTTTGTAAACTTTATTACATGCTTTTTTTTCATATTATTTTATTTAATTAATGTTTTACATATATAGGCTGTGACATTCATTGAATGCAACAACTTGAAATTTAATAACCTAAAGTTCAAAAATGCACAACAAATGCATATAAGGGTTCAGAATTGCAACAATGTTTGGGCTTCAAATCTTATCATTAGAGCACCAGGAGATAGCCCCAACACTGATGGATTTCATGTCACTCACTCACAAAATGTTTTCATAACCAACAACATCATTGGGACAGGTAAAAAAAAATATTTTTACCTATGTTCAATCTAATAATATTAATTTTTTATATTTTTTATAAAATATACTTAGATAATAAAGTTATGTTTCTGATTTAGACTATCTGATTTACGTATTAAATTAAATACATTAAATTTTGTTGATTCAAATATCTCTTATAAAAAGGAGATAATATTAATTATAATATTAGTATTTAAAATATATTATATTATAAAATTAATTTTTTTAAAATATAAAATTATCTAATTTTCTTTCTCACTATTTTATTGAAGGTGATGATTGTATTTCAATAGTAAGTGGGTCCAAAAACATTAGAGCTACAGATATAATATGTGGACCAGGACATGGAATAAGGTTCATAATTCTCTTAATTAATTTTTTTCTAATTTAATTTTATATTTAATGGTTAAAAATGTTGATGTATTATTATTACTTTTTTGTTTTTTGTTTTTTATTTTGTAGCATTGGAAGCTTAGGACAAGATAAGTCTGAAGCTCAAGTGAATAGAGCTACACTAAAAGGAAGCACTAATGGGGTTAGAATTAAGACTTGGCAGGTAAATTAATTAACCACTTTTCAACTTTGAAACAGTTTAATACAATAAATTAAGGGTCATTTTTAAAATATAAAAGTATAAAATGTGGAATTAAAGTTACCCACTTAGTTTAATTTTTATTGGTCCAATTTAGGTGTATTAGCATTTTATATTGGGAAGATGACCAATTGATAAATGAAGCAATATTGCACTAACTAGAAATAAGAAAAACAACAGAAAAAGAAAACAAAAGCGTTCCATCTTCTTCTTCACACATTCCGCCGCCGAATACCGCTCTCATACGCTCCAAGTCCAAGTCATTCATCCGCTCCGACTCAAACCACTTTCGTCCACACCCTCCGTTGTGTTGTTCGTCACTCCGTCCAACTGCCTTCGTTCGTCGTCCACTCAATTCCAAAAAACCCACCCTAGATGTACCGTACCATATCCCACCGCCGTAAACTTATATACATCGCCATTTCTGATCCGCAACAACACTCAACACCTTCAGCAGCAACATAACAACACGACGTGCTCAAAATTGCATTATTGGTAACTTCTCTTCATTTTATTTCAATACAGTTTATAGTTGTTGGTTTATGTTGGTGAGAAGGTTTAATGAATGGATGTTAATTTGCTATTGATTATGTTTTTCTGACGTGGGTGTATGTTGGTGTGTTTGTATGTATTTCTGCATTTATAATTCGATCGCCATTTCGTATCGTTGTGTTTGAGTTGAATCTGAGTGTTTTGATGGTTGTTTGAGTTTGTGTGGGCATTTTCATATTTTTTGTTGATATAAGAAGTTGACAACAGAGTGGGGTTCTAACTACTTTAAATCAAACAAATGTTGATAGAGAGTGCTAACTATTTTTTTCTAGTAGTAAAGAATTAATTACATAGTGATTATCAATAATAATTTAATATAGGCCATTGTAATTTCATATTCTAGCGTTTGGTTCTGAGTGGTTAACAAATATATTTTATTTGTTTTTTGTATTTTCTGTTAAAAGTAAGTGCAAAATGTTCAATCTTGTAGTTTGTATTATTGTTCTATGTTTGTTCAGTTAAAAGTTGTGTGCATGCACTATAGAATTCGGTTAAGTTTTCTTAACCAATTAATTTTTATTTGTTTTTCTGTTTTTTTTTGTTTAAAAATAAGATCAAAATGATGAATCGTGTAGTTTTTATTATTGCTACACATTTTTTCCATTGAAAGTTGAGTTTGTACACTGTCACATTTGGTTCTGAGTGGTTAATCAATATATTTTTATTAGTTTTTTGTTTTCTCTGTCAAAAGTTAGTGCAAAATGTTGAAACTTGTAGTTTGTATTGTTGCTCTGCATTTTGTTCCGTTAAAATTTGTGTGCGTACACTATAGCTTTTGGTTTTGTTTTGTTAACCAATTTATTTTTATTTGTTTTTTCTGTTAAAAATAAGTGCAAAATGTTGAATCATGTAGTATTTATTGTTGCTCTGCAGTTGTTCCATTGAATGTTTTGTGCAATCATTATAGTGTTTGGTTCTGTTTTCTTATCTATTTTTTTATTTTGTTTTTTGTTTTTATGTTAAAATATGTGCAAAATGATGAGTTGTGTAGTTTGTATTGTATCTCTTCATTTGTTCAAATGAAAGTATTATGCACACAATATAGTGTTTGGTTTTGTTTTGATAACCAATTTACTTTTATTTGTTTTGGTAATTTATGTTAAAAAGAAGTGCAAAATGTTGAATCATATAGTTTGTATTGTTGCTCTGCATTTGTTTCGTTGAAAGTTATGTGTGTACACTATAGCGTTTGTATCTGTGGTTTTAACTAATATATTTTATTTGTTTTTGTTTTTTCTGTTAAAGATAAGTGAAAATTGTTGAATCCTGTAGTTTGTATTGTTTGTCTACATTTGTTCCACTGAAAGTTGTGTACACAAACTATAGCATTATGTTCTGTTTTGTTAACCAATTTGTTTTTGTTTATTTTAGTTTTTTATGTTAAAAATAAGTACAAAATGGTTAATCGTGTAGTTAGTATTGTTATGTTGCATTTGTTCCATTGAAAGTTATTTGCATACACTATAGCGTTTGGTTTCATTTTGTTTTCCAATTTATTGTTATTTGTTTTTCTCTTTTTATGTTAAAAATGAGTGCAAAATGTTGAATCGTGTAGTTTGTATTGTTGCTCTGCATTTGTTGCATTTAAAGTTATATGCGTACACTATAGCGTTTGGTTCTATTTTGTTAACTAAGTTTTTGTTTGTTTTTTGTTTTTTCTGTTAAATATAAGTGAAAATTGTTGAATTGTGTAGTCTGTTAGGTTCGTTAAAATAAGAATTATAAGATCATTGTTGCTCTATATTTGTTTCGTTGAAAGTTGTGTGTTCGATTCTGTTTTGTTAGCCTATTTGCTTAAATATTTATTACTTTGTATAGTCCACATAATCGATTTTTTTGTTCACTTAATTCCCCTCTTTTCTAAGTTTTAAACATTATATAATTTTGTAATTATTATTTATTACTGTTAGTTTTTCATTTGATATTTAGATGTCATATAAAACTATAGATGGTTAAAATGGATTGCATTTTTCTAAGTTTTTAAAAAAGGTGCCTGCTACTGCGTAAATGGTCATACAATAATGTTACTAATTTACACCACGACAACAGTGTCGCAACACACGTACTGAATAAAATTGCAAAATACTTTAAGCGAAAACATTAATAGTGATCTCCCAAGAAGTCTGAACCACTTATCTCTTACTGTATTTCCTCTTGCAGCATGATATTACTGAACTATGATACCATAAAGTTAATATTGGCCTTAAAAAATTTAAGTCTTAATAGCAATGTTTGTGAGAGCTGGTTGCATGGAGATGTTTTTTATTTTTGTTTTTAGGCATAGACCTAGCTTTCATTGTTTTAAGAAATGTCATAATTTTATCTCTATTTTTGATTTCTCAATGCCTAAGACTTGCCTACACAAATTGTGTTGGATACATCTCTCCAATAAGATATGTGTTTAGCTAACATTTGAAAGTTAGTGCTTCTTAATTATTATTGTCTCTGTGTAATTCTATATGCTTACTTGATTGCTATGTTATTATGTTAGTTATTAAAACTAATACATATGCTAACCATGTGATTATATCAATGTTGTGTGATGTGCAGGTTCTCCTGCGTCTATCCCCATTCCCGCATTGTAACTCGCATCTGCTCAGTCTAACCAAGTTCGTTATGCCACTTTTGAATCCATCGACATCACCGTCCTTTCTTCTAAAGGTGACGTATTCCATTTCATCTCTTTTACTATTTATTAAATTTGTGTTTAATTTTCTCATTTTCTAATTATTTGTCTTTAGATCATTCACCGTCGTTGTTTCGGTTAAACCTCAATAGATATGTCATTGGTTTCAACATTATTTGGGAAAGAAACGTCTCAGTTTCATTTACTAGCTTTGTTGTTGTTGTTGCAGTGAAGGAAGTTGTGTTGAAATCGAAGTCGCTTTTAACTAAGGACAAGATTTTAGTTTCTATTACTGCTGGAATCAAGTTGAAAGAATTCAGGTAACAGAACCCAGTCATTCCAATGCTTTCTGCACTTTAGATTAGTTTGAAAAGAAACAACAAATACATATTATATTAGACTATGAAATGTTTGTTCATAATTAGAATATAAATTAATTGTTCTTGTTTTTAAATCTTAACACACACCCCTCATGCAATAGCCCTGTGTTTTCCTACTCATGTTTATGCTAAAACTTCTCATCATTTTATCATAAGGAATCATACCTTATCCTACTCATGTTTATGCTAAAACTTCTTATCATTTTATCATATGGAATCATACCTTATCAAGTTGTAGTTTGAAAGCAAGTAATATCTCTAATTTCACTTGATAAGATCAAATACTTGTATATATTATTAATTCAAAGTCACAGCTAGTTAGACTTATTGGTAAGGGCAAAACACATGAATCCAAAGAAACATATGTAAAACACATCATCCAATGGATATAGACAAAGACAACCTTAAACTATCTCTTCCATGAAGTAACATATGTAAAATAGTTTAGCTCATTTATTTTATGTTTGTAATGCATGTTTAGATTAAAAGTTCACCAATTTATTATATGTTTGGTATTGGAATGCATGTTTAGTGTATATTTAGATTATAAATGAAATTTTTATAATAACTATACATTTGTAAAAGCTACGTTGATATATGAACCATGGTGTTTTTCCATCCTTTATATGATAAAGATTAACGTATAATTTATTTCATTTTAGAAAACCAAATATGATAAAGAAGGATTGGGTGGAGTTACCTCCACACAGTCACAGTTATAAGGACGGTGTAAATTACTTTTTGGATATTGCATTCACCAAAGGAATGGTTGAAGAAGAAGAGATTTTGTGTCCTTGTTCTAGATGTTGCAATGATAGTTGGGAAGTAAGAGATGTAGTGTATGACCATTTATGTAGTAAAGGATTTGTAAAGGGATACACTGAATGGATTTATCATGGTGAAGATGAGAGCCTTATAGATCTTGATGGTGATAGTGATGATGAAACATCATATCATGATGATATCGATGGCTTACTATTTGAGACATTTAAAGATGTGGCTGAAGGAGGTGGAGTACATGAAGGGATAAATGAAGATGCAAAGAAATTTTATAAACTAGTTGATGATGCAAATCAAGAGTTGTATCCTGGTTGTGAAAAGTTTTCCTCGTTATCATTCACTATTCGAATTTATTTGTTGAAATGTATCCATGGATGGAGTAATGCATCATTCACTGCTCTCGTAGAGTTGTTGAAAGAGGCTATGCCAGATTTGAACATCCCTGTCTCTTTCAATAAAACAAAATCTATGATAAAAGATTTGGGCTTAGACTATAAAAAGATTGACGCATGTTCGAACAACTGCATGTTGTTTTGGAAAGATCATGGGAAAGATGATTCATGTCATATTTGTGGCACGTCAAGGTGGATTGAATATCCTGAAGTTGCTAATGATCTTGAAGAATCTATAAAAGCTCATAAGGTTCCCGCCAAAGTTTTAAGACATTTTCCATTGATTCCAAGATTGAAAAGACTTTTTATGTGTTCAAAGACAACCGATACATTGAGGTGGCACGCAGACCATCGTTCAAGGGATGGGAAGTTAAGGCATCCAGCTGATGCCCAAGCATGGAGAGGCTTTGATGCCAAGCATTCAGATTTTGCTCGTGAAACTCGTAACATCAGACTTGGGTTGGCAAGTGATGGGTTTAATCATTTTAGGACCATGAGTCTTTCACATAGCACATGGCTTGTTGTATTAACAATATATAACTATCCGCCAAATTTGTGCATGAAGGCTGAAAATTGTTTGATGTCGTTACTTATTCCTGGACCAAAGTCACCCGGAAATGAAATTGATGTGTATTTGCAGCCACTAATTGAGGAGCTTAAGATATTGTGGGAAGTCGGTGTAGAAACATATGATATTTCAAAAAATCAATCATTTCAAATGTGTGCAGCTCTTATGTGGACTGTGAATGACTTCCCTGCATATGCTATGTTATCCGGTTGGAGTACTAAAGGGAAGTTTGCTTGTCCTGCTTGTAATCATAAAACTTCTTCAAGATACTTAAAACATAGTCGAAAGATGTGTTATATGGGTCATCGAGTCTTTTTGGATTCAAATCATAGTTGGAGATCAAATTCAAGTTCTTTTGATGGAAAGCCAAAATATAGGTCTGCACCCTCCTTGTTAGATTCAACAATGATTTTAAAAGACTTAGAAAAGATTCCTGATGTAGTGGGGAAAAAATATCATAAAAAAAGGCCTGGTCCATGGAAGAAAAAGTCTATCTTTTGGCAATTACCATATTGGAAGGATAATTCTTTGCGCCATAATGTAGATGTTATGCATACAGAAAAGAACATTTGTGATAATATAATGGGGACTCTCTTAGATATTGAAGGGAAGAAAAAGGATCATGCAAAAGCTCGTTTGGACCTACAACACATGGGGATTAGAAAAAAACTCCATTTGAAGGAAACAAGTGATGGTAAGAAAACTCAAATCCCTAAGGCATGTTTCTCCCTAACAAAGCAAGAGAAAACTATTTTTTGTAATGTTTTAAAGACAGTAAAACTTCCTGATGGCCTTGCATCCAATATTTCTCGATGTGTTCAAGTTAATGAAGGAAAAGTTTCTGGATACAAGAGTCATGATGCTCATATTATATTGCATTACTTGTTGCAAGTAGCAATAAGAGGGGTAGGCCCTAATCAAATTGTTATCCCTTTGCTTCGACTTTGTTCATTTTTTCGGTGTTTATGCCAGAAGGTTATAGATGTGAAAACATTGGATTACTTGGAAGTAGAAATTGCTGAAACACTTTACCAATTCGAGCGTATCTTCCCTCCGAGTTTCTTTGACATAATGGTTCACTTACCAATTCACCTGGCAAATGAAGTCAGATTGGGTGGACCGGTTCAATTTCGATGGATGTATTATATGGAAAGATATTTGGGTGATTTAAAATCTTTTGTTCGTAATAGGAGTCGTCCAGAGGGTTCTATCGCTGAAGCATACTTAGTTAAAGAATCTCTAACATTTTGTTCAAGATATTTGTCTAGTGCTGTAGACACAAGGATGAATAGAATGACACGAAATAGCGATGATACTCCAAACATAGGTCATCCAATCGGGGGAAAGAAACTAATTTCACTTGATCATAAGTCTCTAAACCAAGCTCACGACTACATTTTATTCAATTGCGATGAAGTGCAAGAGTATATTAGGTACACTCATCTACTTGATACAAAATTTCATTCTCACTATAAGTTTTCTTTTTCTTTTGTATTAAAATATTAGTTATTTATTTTGTAGAGAGCATGAGGTTAATGATCATAATCCTCTAAAAAAAAGGAAGTCCAGAAAAGCTAACAATCAAAGAGAAGATTTTATTCAATGGTTTGAAACACGTCTCATGGATGAGAAAGTTACTGAATGGTTGAAGGTGTTGTCTAGGGGACCAAATGATGTTGTTAGAAGGTATTATGGTTATGTTATTAATGGATATAGGTTTCATACAACAAATCGTGAAGCAAGGCTTAAAACACAAAATAGTGGTGTGACATTAGAAGCGGTGACTCAAGTTCTTAGAAATGCGAAGGATGAAAATCCCAAAAAGATTTGTGTGACTTACTATGGGGCAATAAAAGATATTATAGAGTTAGATTATTATGGTCATGAAAAATATGTATTGTTCAAATGTGATTGGTTTGTGGATGAAAAGGATAAATATGGATCGCCGTTGGTTTACTTTAACAAAAAATGCTACAAAAATGATCCATTTGTGTTGGCATCTCAAGTTCAACAATGCTTCTTTATTGAAGATCCTTTAAACAAAAACAAACACTATGTTCTAAATGCACTTCCAAGGGAATCATTTGACATGGGAGAATCTTTAAGTACAGATGCCCAAGAATATGATATTTCAAAAAATCTTAATACGTTAAGGGATGATTGTGAAGTGGATTTGGTTAGGAAAGATTTGTCGGATGATATCTTTGAAATTCCTTTGTCAGAACTTCACAACCAAAAAGCAATAGAGAGTGATCACAGTGACACGAGTTATGGAAGTGACAATGAAACTGATTATGATTCTAGTACTGACTAGGTAGCATTGACAATGTGTTTTACCAATTTTTTTAATAGATTTTGAGTAGAAAATAGATTTGTTCAAAGTTTAATTTATGGTTAAGCATGCTGTCATTTTTTTACTTAAACCATAACAAACTAGATTCAAATATACTGTTAATTTATGGTTATGCATAATGTCACTTTATACTCAATTTTTCATTATATAATTATGTAATTTTCCCCCTTTGTAGATCATAGTTGTTGGCCATAATGGACAATGTAAGAAGTGTAAAAGATGGTGGATCACATAGGAAGAGTGGTCGAAGTCCTACTAAAAGATTTGATTTTCCTTTTCAAGTAATATCAAGTGCAGAATTGAGAAATAAAGTTCTACAACATGTTAAGAAAGAAAAAATTGACAAGTTACATGAGATGCTACAAGGAAACAATAGAGAAAGGTTTCAGGAAATTATAGAAGTTGTGGACGGTAAATCATTTTCTTGTTTCATTTGATTTTATATAATGTATGTTAAAGTTATGTTTTGGAATTCCTTTAGATATATTATTCCTACTGTCTTTTAATGAATTTTTACAAAAATTAGAAACACCAAAAAAAGGAAATCAACAAGAAAGAGTTCAAAAGGTTGATCACAATTTGGACAAAGAGACTATTGCAAAGAAAATGGAGATAGACAAACTCTCGCAACCAAAAGTAATGAAAGATCATGCACATGGTGACAAAGAAGTTGTACAAGGTAAGTGATTTTTAAATTTTTCTATTATGCATATATTACATGAAATTATTCCTAATATCTTTTGGTGAATTTTTACTAAAATTAGAAACACCAAAGAAAAGAACTCAAGTGAAAGCTACAGTGAATAGAGAGAGAATTCAAAAGGTTGATGGAAAATTGGACAACCATATTGCTATGAAGAAAGCAGAGAGACCTAAGCTTTTGCAACCACAAGCTAAGGAAGTTTTTGCACATGGAAACAAAGAAGTTTCACAAGGTAGTTAATATCCCTGCATATACTTTAAATTTATATATTTCTTTTCATGACATTATTATGACGAGAAAATTACATTGAAACCAGGAATGCTGAAAAAAAGAATTCATGAGAATCTACTAGAGAACAATAGAGATAAAATTCAAAAGGTGGAAAAACCAATTGCAAGGAGAATACTTATTTCTTCCAAAAATAAGAAACCAGAGAAATCTACTCTATCTTTGGACATAATGATGTCAAAAGCTGAATGCTCTAAAAAGCTAAACAGGGTGCCAAAATGCCCATCAATGTTGATTGATGATTATGTAGATCTTCACAAGTCAAAGGAAATGGATGCAACCAAGTCAAACAATGGAGAAAAACCCGGCAGCAGCGTTAACCGTAGCTCTAATCAAAATCAGCCAAAAAAAGGAACTCGACAAGAAAGTGTTCAAAATCGGGCAAAAGTCAACGAAGAAGATGCAATCACAAATAGAGAAGAAGAAAAAGGTAATTAGTTTCATATTTCATAATAATGATTTCATGTATTATTTACATATTGGTAGCAAACATGTGATATCATGTTGTTGTGTTGATTACTTTATAGAAACATCCCAAAGAAAAACTCGTGGGAAAACTTTGTGCAAAAAGATTCATGCAAGAACTTTGGAAGAGCGAGTAGAAGTGACCTATAATGAGGATTTTCAGCCAATTGGTCCTAGTGAAAAAGTAGTATCTGACATGAGCCTCTTCTTGGGAACATTGGCTAGGAACTCAACATTTTGTCCTCTACGTTACACCAATTGGTCAGGAATGCCAGATGATAATAAAAATCGTTTCTGGAGATATACTAATGTATGTTTTTATCTATGAATTTGAAAGTATAATTATTAAAAAAAAGAGTTTTATTTCTTGATCTTGTCTTATCTTATAATTTATGTAGCGGAAGTTTATCTTGTCGGTTGAAGCACGGGATTGGATTGAGACCACTGTTAGAGAGGCATGGAGATTATATAAGCACAAAATTAAGAAGAATCATTTTTTGAAGTATTCCAACATGACCGAGAGACTCAAAAATCGTCCGCCAAACGTGCCAATAGCCCAGTTTAAGAGTCTTTGTGCTTATTGGAGTAAGGAAACTATACAAGTAAGATTAATAATTTTTTTTATGTATGTGTTTGAATTTACACCTTTCTATGTATGCCATAATTAAGTAATATTTATTATAATAATTCCTTCAAATTTAAATGTAGGCAATCAGTGAAAATAACACTAGAAATAGAGCTCAACTAAAGTGGATGCATCGAATGGGTCCCAAAAACTTTGCTTTGACTCGTGAAAAAGTGGTAACTTTCTTTTGTTCTCAATAAAGTATTCCTTGTATGAATGTTTCTTTGTTCAATTAAAGTATTCGTGAAAAACTTTTCTTTGACTCGTGAATAGGAATTTTAATTCACATGATTTGTTATGAAATTATTTTGATTTGTGCAGCGTGAAAAGGAAAAAAGAGAGCCCACTCAATCAGAAATGTTTGTTGAAACTCGAAAAGGAAATAAAGGAAAAGAACTGGATGTAGAAACTGGAAAAGTAATTGTATGTAACATTGTTTATATAATACGTTTGCTTAATATAATCGGCCAACATTGTCTATAATAGTAGTTAATTTTTTTTTTGTTGTAATTTATGCTAGTCCCAACTTCAAGAAATGGTTGAAAAGGAGGAAAGTGATACATAAGCTTTTAAAGTTGTTTTTGGAAAGGAGTGTCCAGGCAGGGTACGCTGTTATGGGAGAAACATAACTAAAACTTCCTTAAAGAGAAAGGCAGAGATTAATGCTTTGAAACAAGCCCACAGTGAAGAGGTCTCTACATTAAGGGACGAGTTTCAAGATAAGATTGATAGATTGCAAAATGCTTTTAAGACCGTAATACAACAATGCAATCCTCAAATTAATATAGAGTCAATTGAAGATTTGTTAGGATTATCTCATGGAGATGCTAATAGTTCCCCAAAGGATATAAGACCGCAAATGCATTCATCTACATCAACTCATGCTCCATGTCATGGAAAGGTAATCATATATGCTAATATTATTGATTTATATTTTTCTAATTATGTTATAGTATCAAAATGGTTGTTAATGTATGCAAAAATTTGCAAGTAGTGACAACACCTAGAATAAAGTAAGTGGTTGAAATTGTTTAAGTAGTGACAACACCTAGAAGTGGCTGAAACTGTTTAAGATTTGTTATATGCAAAAGAGAAAAATCTAAATTTTCAACTTTAGACATATAGACTTAAAGTAAAACATTGAGTATTTTTTATGAATATTCCTGGTATGAGAAGATAAGTAAAGTAATATAAAGCCCACCCATGACATGAGATGTGAAGAATATAAACAATGTGTTTTGCTCATTGGTTTAGTTTTTATTTGTGCGAGGTTTAATTCTTGTTGATGTCTTAATTGTCCTTTGGACCAAAAATATTTATGGTTGATGTATTTTATTTTATTTTCTTATGCAGCAATGTATCAATGAAGATGTTGAAAAGGACGATATAAATGATGAAATTCAAGAGGACGACATAAATGATAAAATTCAAGAGGAAGACCTAAATGATAAAATTCAAGAGGACGACGTAGATGACGAATTTCAAGAGGACCACATAGATCTAGATGATGAATTTCAAGAGGACGATATAGATGGTGAATTTCAAGAGGACGACGTAGATGAAGAATTTATGGAGGATGACATATCTAACGAATTTCAAGAGGATGATCTGGATGATTTACTCTTAGAAGACAAACTTGAGTGAGTTGGATGATGTCTTTTTTTGGCTTGTAGTTGAAAGCATTATATGATTTTTGTTCTTTTGTTGAACTATGTTTTTAGTTATTTTACTATGGTCATACTTCAAAGTATTAAAAGTAATGTTACGTTAGGCATTTTGTGTACTCTATATATTATATCTTGAATTAAAGTTTGAACTTGATTTTATTATATTACAACTTTTATGGATGTATGGTTTAAGTTATATAATCAATATTATTTTTGAAGCCTATAAGCTATTTTATTATATTGCAAAATTGTATATTTTATGTGGACACTATAAAACAACAACCTATAAGCTATGGCTACACTTCAAAAACGACCTTCCTGATTCAGGTTTAAGGCAACGATTGTTAATTGTAGCCGAAATTGGCAACGCTTAAAAAACGTTGTCTCAGAGGCTGCAAATAATCGTCCCCTATTCCTTTTCTATAGGCGATGTTTTCAAAAGCGTGCCCAAAAAACATTAAAAAAACGTCGCCTCAAACAATAGGCAACGCTCGCACAGGAGACGCCTAGAAAACGTCCCCTATTTGTTTAGGCAATGATTTTCAGATTTCTGGCAACGCTTTTCAATTGTTGTTGGAGAGGCTAAATGTTGTAGTGGACGAACGAAGGCAGTTGGACGGAGTGACGAACAACACAGCGGAGGGTGTGGACGAAAGTGGTTTGAGTCGGAGCGGATGAAGGACTTGGACTTGGAGCGTCTGAGAGCGGTATTCGGCGGCGGAATGTGTGAAGAAGAAGATGGAACGCTTTTGTTTTCCTTTTATGTTGTTTTTCTTATTTCTAGTTAGTGCAATATTGCTTCATTTATCAATTGGTCATCTTCCCAATATAAAATGCTAATACACCTAAGTTGGGCCAATAAAAATTAAATTAAGTGGGTAACTTTAATTCCACATTTTATACTTTTATATTTTAAAAATGACCCTTAATTTATTGTATTAAACCGTTTCAAAGTTGAAAAGTGGTTAATTAATTTACCTGCCAAGTCTTAATTCTAACCCCATTAGTGCTTCCTTTTAGTGTAGCTCTATTCACTTGAGCTTCAGACTTATCTTGTCCTAAGCTTCCAATGCTACAAAATAAAAAACAAAAAACAAAAAAGTAATAATAATACATCAACATTTTTAACCATTCAATATAAAATTAAATTAGAAAAAAATTAATTAAGAGAATTATGAACCTTATTCCATGTCCTGGTCCACATATTATATCTGTAGCTCTAATGTTTTTGGACCCACTTACTATTGAAATACAATCATCATCACCTTCAATAAAATAGTGAGAAAGAAAATTAGATAATTTTATATTTTAAAAAAATTAATTTTATAATATAATATATTTTAAATACTAATATTATAATTAATATTATCTCCTTTTTATAAGAGATATTTGAATCAACAAAATTTAATGTATTTAATTTAATACGTAAATCAGATAGTCTAAATCAGAAACATAACTTTATTATCTAAATATATTTTATAAAAAATATAAAAAATTAATATTATTAGATTGAACATAGGTAAAAATATTTTTTTTTTACCTGTCCCAATGATGCTGTTGGTTATGAAAACATTTTGTGAGTGAGTGACATGAAATCCATCAGTGTTGGGGCTATCTCCTGGTGCTCTAATGATAAGATTTGAAGCCTAAATATTGTTGCAATTCTAAACCCTTATATGCATTTGTTGTGCATTTTTGAACTTTAGGTTATTCAATTTCAAGTTGTTGCATTCAATGAATGTCACAGCCTATATATGTAAAATATTAATTAAATAAAATAATATGAAAACAAAGCATGTAATAAAGTTTACAAAAGTATGCTTATTTAAATTAATTTTTTTTGTTAAGTGTGGATACAACATATAATAAGATTTTATAATTTTGCGTTTTTTATTAAGTCCATGTGGATAAATACATGCTTATAATTAAATATTATTTTATAATTATGTGTTAAAATTTTTTTAATATATATATATATATATATATATATATATATATATATATATATATATATATATATATATATATATATATATATATATATATATATATATATATATATATATATATATATATATATATATATATATATATATATATATATATATATATATATATATATATATATATATATATATATATATATATGTTTAGAGAAAAATATTTGTTTTTTAGTGTATAAGTTTTGGAGGGAAGATTACCACCAAAAATTTGATAATGCTAAAAAAATTTATACAACATTTCATAAATGTAGCCTTTTATTAGAACTAATGTAACAATCTAAAAATGTCCCCAAAAATATTTTAGGGGACAATTGTCAAACATTGCTAAAGAAATAATATTTTAACGCTCTAAAATCGTTCCCAAAAGCAGTTAAGGGCACAATTAACAATCGTTGGCAAAAAAATAAAAGAGTATCACTCCATAAACGTCCCCAAAAGTATTTTAGGCAACGATTATCAAGGGTTGCAAACATATTTTTGACAACAATCGTAAACCGTTGCCTACATGAATTTAAGGCAACAATTTTTACATGTTATCTAAAAAAGTGTTGCCAGAGACAACAAATGTTGTAAGCGAAGGATCCTAATCTTCTTTGAATATAAGAGAACTTTTCTTGGTGGTTTTATTGGTTAGAGTCTTGTATAGAAAGACTAGGTTGTCTTGTCTAGAGATCTAACAATAATAAAATCTTTTTCATGTTAAAAGGGGACTGAATTACTCTCAGATTGTGAGGAGAACTAGGATACATTCTTGTGTTCTTTATTTTTCTGTATGTACCGCTTTCATCACAAATCATAAATCAAAAAAGAAAAAAACACATTTATAAACTCATGCACTAAACTAGAAAGAAACACATCTTTGTGGTGAATATTTTAATTTTTGAAAAATTCACATGAAGACTCACTTAAAAACATAAGGAAAAGAAATATGAGATGCTGTCCAAAATGGCCCTTTTATTCTTACAAATGTTGTCAATAGTGTAATCGGATTAGAATATTTCTAGTATTCTCATTTAAATATAAAGTTGTTTATAAAGAAAAAAAAACTACAATATCTTTCTTACCAAGTTTCTGCTTGCTTGGAAATCACCCACCTATACTAAAAATTCTTAATGAATATGTTTGTTAGAGATAAAAATGAGTTTTTTATTATGTTTTTCTTTTTTTTGGCTTTGTTTATTTTGTCCACAACAATTATCTCTTCTTGAGTGTACGATGGCATGAAAGAAATAGATAAAATGATACCAGAATTCTTGATCTTCATGCATGCATTGTATTATAACAAATGTCAAACATGATAGAGATAACAAAGTAGGGAAGACAAAACATACTTATGTAAATAAGCGTTGCAAAAAGAATATATAATAAAACATAAATAAATTAAACTTCCCATAATGCAACTATAAGTAAAGGTCATTACAGAATATTATCTAACAAAATACACGAGATCCAATAAAAGAAAATCAAAAACAGAACAGTAACATACATTTGGGTCTATATATAACCGTTTATTTTCTTTAAATTATATAAGTTGAGTAATTATAAAAAATTATTTCTTTCGTTTTAAAATAAGTATCATTTTAAAGAAAAAAATTATTTTAAAATGAATATTATTTTCATTTTTTAATATAACAATGATTATTATTTTTGTAATTATATTATTTAATTATTAGTCTATATACTATTTTTAATATATTAATAAAATTAAGGGTTAATACCTATTTTCACCCCTGACATATGGGGTGTATTTGAAAAAAACCCCTGTCAAAAAAAAAGTTCCAATTGTTACCTTGACAAATTTTAAAAGTTTCAATTTTTACCTTGAGGATGCCACATCCCTAAAAGGCTGATGTGGCTTATATTTTTGTTATATTTTTATTATTATTTTAATGACATGGCTTGATTAGTTGTCATTTTTAATTAATTTTTAATTTTTAATTCCACATGGCATTTATATTAATATTTTATTAATTGAGTGTTAATTCAAAGTTTAAAAAATTTTGTCCTTCAACAGGAATCAAATCATGGACATACTGTTTGCAATAAACACTTCTTACCACTAGACCAATGCATTTTCTTTGTTACATATATGCATCAATAAATATTCATATTATTAACATATTAATTACAATTATCAATAAATTTTCTTAACTAGTTGATTTAAATAATTTTTAAAAAAATGTTTTACATATTTTATCTTTTTACTCTAACTTTTTTTAAATTTTAAATTTTCAAAAATCACTTAAATTTAAAAAAATCACTTAAATTTTCAAAAAACACTTAAATTTAAAAAAATCACTTAAATTTAAAAAAATAAGTTAAATTTAAAAAAATCACTTAAATTTTCAAAAATCACTTAAATTTTCAAAAGTCACTTAAATTTTCAATCACTTAAATTTTCAAAAATCACTTAAATTTTCAAAAATCACTTAAATTTAAAAAAATCACTTAAATTTAAAAAATAAGTTAAATTTAAAAAAATCACTTAAATTTTCAAAAATCACTTAAATTTAAAAAAATCACTTAAATTTTCAAAAATCACTTAAATTTAAAAAAATCACTTAAATTTTCAAAAATCACTTAAATTTAAATCACTTAAATTTAAAATCACTTAAATTTTCAAAAATCACTTAAAATTTCAAAACTAAGTGATTTTCAAAAATCACTTAAGTGATTTTTGAAAATTTAAGTGATTTTAAATTTAAGTGATTTAAGTGATTTTAAATTCATCTTCTGATTCCAAAAACATTCAATGTGTTAATCTTGCATTAATGGCTTCACATCACTCCGGTGATGAAAAAGAAGAGGTTATTAATGAACTTTATCTTTATTATAATGATGTTTAAGGTGCTATAGATAAACTCTTAAATGAGTGCAAAATTCTGTACAAAACTATTTCATCTCAAGAGAAACATATTTCATCTTTAGAAGAAAAATTTGAGAAAATGGAAAAGTATTTCAAGGATGAAAAACA